TAGAGAGGGCATCTGTCTCTCGAATAGTCGAATGGGAGGAGTGATTCTTGTGAATTGTCGGAGCGAAAGATAACAGGCGCCTTGCCATTAGCTGTTTGACCCAATTAACTCAAAATGTGTCTGTCTCTGTTTGTGTTGCCTGTTTTCTGTTAAATTGCCAAATTTGTCTGTATGATGTTCTGTGGCTAGGTGCAAAGCAGTAGCTTAACCACAGACATTAGCATTATGGCACTCATGGGTAGGATGATGGGCAATATTCTCGGCTCACCATTTAATTTTGAGCCAAAATCACCACATTTCTGAAATGTTTACTTATATTTTTGTGAATAGTTAGGCTCTATTCTCGTTATATAACATTAGATAGCACTAGTGTGCCAATACATGTGGCACAATAGTGCATGGTTTGCCTCACGGCAAGAAGGATTTCAGTTTGAATCCAGTCTGGGGCTGTTTTTGTGTAGAGTTTGCAGGTTCTCCCCACGTGGGTTCCTCCCACAGTCCCAAAATAAACATGGAGTTACTGGTGCATAGCTGCAGTGCTAATTTTTTTAACACAGTTTTGAAAATAAATCTGGGAGCTGCTGTTTTATGCTGATATTTGGACAACTAAAAACTCAAGGTACGGTTTAGGGTCATATCTACAAGTTGCTGACTCTAACTGACATTCCTTGGACTTTGGTGCCTGTGTTACTGCTATTTTATTCCTGGGGAATGTTAGTGTTTAGTCACAATGGTATTGGACACTTTAACTTTTTGACTTGACAATAAATGGATACATTTTATGAATACATAACAGGCTGTAATTTATCCCAAGGGCAGTGTGAATGCCATTAGGGTCCCAACTAAAGAAACACAAAGGAAATAAGCGTCGAGACTTCTGGTATCTGTCGCATTCAGATCATTTTCTGGGAGCCATGGAGGTCTAGTAAAAACTATTACTACATCTACTATAACATTTTACTGTCTGGCTGAACATTGTAAAATGCTTCTTTGGGGAAAACAATTTCAATCCAACATTTCTACAGAAACTATGAGCACACGACTCCTCGGCTTCATTAATTTTAATAGTTTTTGTGCATCTCATAGACTGTTGTTCATCTCTAAGGCGCGATAACAGAAAGATGTGCGTTGAGGTTACCCGAAGGTAATTTTAATTTTTTGCAAACGCATTCTCCCGAGAGTTATTTTTATTTTTATTACCAAACTTATTTTCAGTCCCAACCCTTTTAAGATAACATACTGCACTTTGGATGATTACCTGAATTTTGCATGTTCTTTATATATTTTCAGTTTCAGTTTCAGTATTTTCAGTGGTTGGTTGTTTATAGAGCTGAATCATCTCTTTATTACTGTTCTGAGACTGCCGTGGTCATCTGGGTAGCTGTAAAAATTGGTGTTTGCTGGTTTTACCCAAGAATGTTTCTGCTTTTGATCCCAGGAGCCGTATATGCAGCAATGAGTTGGAATTCGGCAACATTTAGAAATAACTAGAAATCTGGAAGAAATCGCTGGGAAAACAGAATAGTGCCATCAAAGTTACATTCCTATTATGTGTCAGATCAGATCAGTATTTGGATACACAAAAGTGTTTTCCATGTTTTAGGACCATTTCATTAAGGTTTATTTTTACATTTGATTAAACTACAGAAGACAACATACCACATTGAATTATGTCCCATGAGGACTGCTCTTCACTATCAACAGTGTAGCTCACTCGTTCTGTAGAAAAATATATGATGAAAATAACGTGGCATGATGGATTATAGCAATAAAACAGGAAGGTGGATTTATCAAACTGAACCCCAGGGATGATATTCTCTCTCTTTTTTTCCTTTTTTTTCTGTCCCATTTGGCTCTTTTGCCATCAGAATTATTGTCTAAAGGTGAAGAAAGACGCCCAACGGATTTACTTTACCAAATGGACCATCCCAGCCTTGCCGTAATGGTCTATTTGATTCACCTTTTATTGTTTATTTTATTTTATTTTTACTTGTTAATTACGGGACAGACTGGGGAAAAGAAAGGGAAGAAAGAAAGAGGGAAAGAAAAACAGCGGGGAAGAGGGACGGGGATAAAGGGAAAAAAACAAAAAAACAACAAAATAAGCAGACAAGAAATACATATATCAATCACCTGGATCACCTGTTGAGAAAGAAAAAAGAGAAAACAAGCAAGAAAAAAAAGAGCAACATAATAAACAACATCACGATGATCTATGGGAATATAACAGTAAATACTTAATATTAAACATTATTGTGCAGCGCGTAAGATCAACAGCTTTGAGGTAGGAGCCAAAAACGGTGTAGTTTGTGTGTGTGAGCACCCGTGTGTACACCTGTGAGCATG